TTTTAATATGCTGTAATAACAGAAGATAATGGCGTACATCTTTTTTTAATTGAATGAAGGCAATTTTAAAGTTTATAGCATTGTATGTGATAGAAAAAATTTTTGTAAACATAGTTAATATTAATTGTTCCTTCTGAAACTTTGCTTCGATTCTATTTACTTATATCTGAATCATTCCATTATGATAATTGATGCATATTTAATTAAGCACTGTTTAATCACAATAGAATAATTTCGATATAGTTAAATGAATAATGACTAAATGTCCAATGTAATGAGGATAATTATGCAACTTTTGTTAGCAAAGAGTGATGAATATATTAGCAGTTTAAAAATTAGCAAAATATTTTTATAAAGATGATTAATTTTACGACAGTTTAGTTGAATCATAAATATCTGCCAACTCAGTCGTTAATATGATATGTTCTAAAGTATGTGAAATTATTTCGAATTTAAGGAATTCATTTGATGAAAAGTAAAAAGATAAGGATGTCTTCAAGAAAAAAACTTATGAATCATTTGTGTTATGTCTGAAAGAACAGAAAAAAAAAAATTAACCAATTTAGTAAAAGATTTTAAAAAGAATTACACATACACTTTTTCACACGCCGTCCGCTTTTCTCGAATGCCTATTGCATTTGATTAGGCATGAAATGAAAAAAGGACTCATGCATTTTTACACTAAACTTCGTTAGAAAGTTAGTTGTTGCCACTTTGATAACAAATGTAAATTCACGTTTTCGGTTTAGTGTAATTATATTTCGAAACTCATTGAAATTGTTGCTCAAACATTAATAGCAATAACATTAACAACAAATAATGCTATCACAATATTATTTGTTGTTAATGTTAGTAATAAAAGCAAATATAATAAATAACAACAATAGCAATAATGATTATTACAATAACTATAATGATAATACTGAAGAAAATCACGTTTATTTGATAGAAACGATAAAGGAATTGAAAAGTGGAAGAGTTTTGTGCGTTGCGATGTAATTTCAACTGGGAAATGAATTTGCTTTCATATGGGATGTTATCATATAATGAATGAAGATATTACAATTAACGACGTTTTTATGACTTACGAAATGGTTTATACATGATGATTTTTTCATGGATGAATTGCACAAATCGAATTTATTGAGTTGAATGAGTTAATGGATAATTTAAATTGAGATACTGTTGATGATGATGTAAGATTGTAAAAACAAGTTCAAGATCGATGAATTTAGAATAGCTTATTTTGTATAACTATAAAATCATTTTATGTGATCAATTATCAATTATCATATTTGGCATAATTCATTGTCACTAATCAGCATTCCTCTCGTATTATATGGTAAATTTTTTAATATTTTAATTCTTTTTTTTTACTTTTTTTTGCATCTTTCTTCGTAATCATTGTAATAAAGCAATGCTTACTAAGATGCCGATTAATTGCCTTAAATGGTTGAATAGGAACCAGTCAATGTTACACAGATGAATTGTGAAATGACGCAGAAGTACAAATTAGTTGAATTATTAATTAATATTAGGGTATTGTAATGTAGGACAACAGAATCATTCCTGTTGAAAAGAAAAAAAGATGGCAAAGTTAGTTGATTAATAGTGCATTCTGAATCTTCTTGATCTGAACTTTGTACTTCTTAATTCTTGCGGGTAACTTTGCATTCATTTCGTTATCAAAAAAAAAGAAAAAAGTATATAAATAAAAAGTAAAGCAGTCAGTAAGCTTTTAAAATGATGTAAAATAATTTTATTTTACAAAAAGAATAATTGGCCACAATAATTTTTAATGAAAAAAAAATATCATTAATAACTGCGTAAATGATTGGAATAGTTTTGAAATGTGTAAGTGCTGAAAATGAGGAAGGGGGCCGTAATAAATCCGAGAAATTTTATTTTTCTCTTAAAAGCACATATTTATTGATTTATTTAAATCAGATAGATTACAGATATATCGAATAATATTCTAGCTGAACGATGCATATTAATTGATATTTTCAATCATAGTCGAAAATTAATTCATATGTAGAAATGAATAAATAATTAACGCCAAATTACTATTGAAACTGTATAATTTCAGAATCATTTTATTGAGGGAAATTTGATAAATGATAATTTTCTTTTGTTAGCAAAAATTTCGAGTTTCTTTTTTATTTTTTAAAATTGATTGAAGAAATTCTGAGAAGAAATTGGGAAGTGAATAGGAACAGAGAAAAGAAGTATGAAACAGAATATCAGTGATATTCTATCACTCCAAGAGAATCTTACAATTCAAAAATAATTGCACTGAAAATATTCGTTTTGAAATTTGATTATAAAACCTTATGAAGAACATACACATCCGTTTGAATTTTCATTTTAGCTAAAAGACAGTAGTAATGAAACTATTATTTTTAGGAAAATTACCAAATTTGACTCCAATCTCTTTAAAATTGGCATACATCCATGTAGAAAATATGAATTCCATTATGTCTCATTTAAATTAACACACCTTTTATAAGTTAACGTGAGCTAAAATTTTAATATTTTATTTAAAAATATGTAAAATTCGATGGTTGAAACTTTTTGAAATTTTTGGGAATTTAAAAATTTAGTTAATTTAAGTGGTTAAAAAAAACTTACCGCAGAACCGTTTATTTTTAAATTCACAACTTCCATTGGATTTGGACTTTCATTCCGTTTATAGGTGCATTTTTCACTCATTAAAGCTATCTGTTGATCTGTTTCTAATAGATCAATAGTTTGATCGGAATTGATCTGCCCAATGTGACAACTCTGATTATGATAAGCAGATAATGATCGTAGCTCATCTTTCATATCCTCAGTAGCTTTTGGATGATAGCAACAGAGAAGATTCCTCAATGGTTTCCCACCCATTATTGCACGATTGTCAATATCCAATGTGATTATAACTCATACCAAACCAATGACACAAATTTTATTCCTGCAAAAATATTACATATTGAAATTGCCATTGAGTTATCATTCTATCAACGCGAATACGATAATATTTTCTAATATTGTGATTTTCTGTTTTTACAATAAATGTTTCTGCTATCACTTATGCCTATCATTATAATCAGAAAGTAATATAATGTTGTGTGAGCAAATTTTTAGTGATGTACAAATTTTAGTGATAAGTCATTTAGTGATAAACCAGTTGGCTCTCATATCAATGGGAAGCACTAGAAATTGTTTCCATTCTATATAAGAAACAAATATTATATATTGAATTGTTATCATTAAAGTTGAAATTGTTCAATTATTTCATTGAGAAGATATATTAAACACCAACCGATGGAAGAGTTTTCCGGTGAAAAGAAAAAGATAAACAAGAACATTTTACTATTTTCTAAACATTTCTCAAATTTATTTTTACTGATCAAAGAAAGAACCTACGAATTACGAATTTATCGAGCAAAGTGTTATTTGCCCATTCATTCTTGAACTGTAACTAAAAGAATGAAATTTAAAAATTGCTGAGATAAAATAACCAACGTCTGCCTCCACTAATACTTCGTTTTACTTTACTTTTATCGAGCAAACAAATTTGTTTAATTTTTCATGTTCATTCCATTCTTCATTTTTTACAAAAAAATCTTCAATCACTTTTTAAAAATGTCCAATTGCTTGATTGCTTCTGATAATACTTAAATGAAGTAAATAATAAAAATTGAGAAGTGGTATGAAATTGAAAGTAGCCACTGGAAGACTGTACAAAAATCTATTTAAAAAACAAACATTTGTTGCAGAATTATAATAATAAACAAAAGTTTGGAAGCAACAGCAATGCGAACAAGAAGAGGATAAGCAAGAATACTTACTGCTAGTAATGATGCCGCAGGGCACTTGTAACATCCCAGACAGTTGTTGTTTTCTTGCATCACCTTCTAATTAATCTTGCTTTATAGTTTTCAAAGGAAGATGAATCCTAATTTTATTTCATATTTAAATTTATTATTTATATGTATGCATGCATGGATGATGAAATTATCACACATACAAATACAAGTGATATAAGTCAACGATAACTGGAATATTTCTGTAGCAAAAAGATGACGTAACAAATTTAATATATTTATTGATAGTATATCAAAAGATCAATTACAAATAGGTCTTTATCAGTTATAGCATACACTTTTTATTTACACTGAAATATGACAATAATTCATCACCACTGAACATACACACACATCAATTGCTTTTTGTTTTGTTTATAACATTGGTGATTAAAGAGAATTATTTTAAATCACCATTTTATGCAATCATTTTTAAAAGCTTAAATTTGGCTCAATGAATGAAAATAAACGCTGAGCGATTTGATAGTTTAATTGATATATGAAATAAATGAAATAGTGATGATAGAATATTAGATTGAATAGTATAAAGTAAAAGTTAATGTTTCATTTCAAAAGTAAAATCAGTCGATATGTGGAATAGTTAATAGTTGTATATCTATTATCAACAGGAAATGATTTCCTCTGAAGATTAAATCTGATGATCTATAATGATGCATCACAAAATTTTTCTAAAATATTCCAATATTTTTAAAATTCATTCAAAATATTCAACATAATCAAATTTGATAGCTTTATTTCTATTTTAAATGCTATTTCGATGTATTGCTGACGTATTTTAGAACGAAATTTCCATACATATGCATAACAAGAATATTATAGTAAGTGAATTGATATTAAATTGAATTCGAATATTTTATTTGAGAAAATCATACGGAATGCTGAACAGACCAGGAATTAATTAATTTAATAAAATAAGTAAATGCATAACAGTACGGTTGTAAAATAATGTAAAACAAAAATTTCAATTACCATTTATTTAGTTTAATTTTTTGCCGTCTTAAAAATTATGACTAATGAAGAAAATAAAAAATAATTGGCATATGAAATGAAAAGTAATATGTTTTATTATCAAAGATAAATAAAATAATCGTTTAAAATTTGCCAATAGCCATAAGGCGGGGGAGAAATTAATTATTCAGCAGCTGTTTCGGTTATTTTGGGAGCTGATGTTTTCGTTATTGGTATATTCTCGACTGATATATCCTCTGATGTGAGCGGTATCTCCTCCAGTGGATGTATTCGTTGCAATTCCTATAGTAATGCATACGAGGTTAGAAGTAAAAATATTAAATTTTTAAAAATTCCATCAATTTCAAACATCTGTCTTGAAATTCATAATTTAACGGCTCAAATTTAAACTGTTATGCTATCATTACGGTGTGGAATGTATCAAAAATATTTCAATCATATATTTATTTAAGCTTTTTACTAATTTATTCATTTAGTTAAAATAAATCTAAGCCAAGTTATTTGTTAGTTAAAAATGCTTTATACTGATAAATTTATACTGATAAAAGAATATTGAAATAATATTTGCTTATTT